GATCTTTTACCACCTGGTAGCCGTCTCTTTACAATGTCCAACTCTGTCACTCCTTCCCACCTGCTACTAAGGAGGCTGTCGAGGTCCTGAACCGGTGCCTGGCCGCTGTAATGGTCTGGATGAGAGCGAACAAACTGAAATTAAATCCAGACAAGACAGAGGTACTCCTGGTCAGTCGCAAGGCCGAACAGGGTATAGGGTTACAGCCTGTGCTGGATGGGGTCGCACTCCCCTTGAAGGCGCAGGTTCGCAGCTTGGGTGTGATCCTGGATTCATCGTTGAGCCTGGATCCCCAGGTTTCAGCGGTGACCAGGGGTGCGCCAGCTGCGCCCGTACCTCGGGAAGTCTGACTTGGCCACGGTGGTACACGCTCTGGTCACATCCCGCCTTGACTACTGCAACGCTCTCTACGTGGGGCTGCCCTTGAAGACGGCCCGGAAGCTTCAGCTAGTCCAGCGCGCGGCAGCCATGTTACTGGAGCGGGACGCAGGGAGCACACAACGCCCTTGCTGTTCCAGCTCCACTGGCTGCCGATCTGCTACCGGGCCCAATTTAAGGTGCTGGTGTTATCCTACAAAGCCCTAAACGGTTCCGGCCCAAAATACCTTTCGGACCGCATCTCGGCCTATGAGCCCACGAGGGCCTTGAGATCGTCTGGGAGGCCCTTCTCTCGATCCCGCCTGCTTCACAGGCACGTCTGGCGGGGACGAGAGAGAGGGCCTTCTCGGTGGTGGCCCCCCGGCTGTGGAACACCCTCCCTGTTGACATCAGACAGGCGCCCTCCCTTATGTCTTTCCGTAAGAGCCTAAAGACATGGCTATTTGAGAAGGCATTTAACTGAGTGCTACATTAATTGGTAATGACAACTGGAACGGAATATGGATTACGAGATTGGTTATGATTCTACGATGAGACGGAGCGGATTATTTAGTGTAATTATATTATTGTGTATTAGTGATATGTTGATTTTTCGTTATTGCTTTATTGTAAATTGTCTTTTATATGTTGTACACCGCCGTGAGTCGCCCTAGGGCTGAGAACGGCGGTCAACAAATGCAGCAAATAAATAAATAAATAAATAAATAAATAAATAAATAAATAAATAAATAAATAAATGCCCTTCCATCGGCAGTACTGGAGGGGAGGTACCGGAAGACCCCTGCCCAGGAGAGACTATGCCCGTGTGAGTCTGGCTACATCGAAACAACTGAACATGTGCTCCTCCAATGTGTGTTCTATAGAGACATTAGAGCTAATTTCATCACTCCATGGCTTTTAAAACATCCAGGGCGCACTGAAAGATATTACACCTCCCTGTTGCTCTCGGACTCTTGCTCTGCGACAACCTATAGTGTTGCCAAGTTCTGTGCAGCAGCAATTAACATTAGACGGCTGATGACAGACTCCACCAGGCAACTTCCTGCCGGGAATATAGTTAGAATGATTTGTAATAACTGAAATGCTGTAAATGCTCCCCTCTCATCCCTTTTATAGCTTCCCAGTCGTCTGATATTTGTTATTAGCCACCCCCTATTTTAGATTCATACATGCACTTTAAACTGTAAGTTTAGTCTGTTTTATCTTTTTAATTTGTCTCTTTTATAACATGTTTTTAATCTGCTTTTAATCTGTTTTTATACCTGATCTACTTGGGAACTGCGATTCCCTTCCTTGGGCACCGATGCCCCATTCTGTACTGTGCTGGTCAAAGACCGTAATAAATCATTGATTGATTGATTGACTCTAAGCTGGAATGTGTTACAGGGGAGGGTGACTAAAATGATCATAGGTCTGGAGAACAAGCCCTATGAGAAGTGGCTTAAAGATCTGGGCGTGTTTAGCTTGCAGAAGAGAAGGCCGAGAGGAGACATGATGGCAATGTATCAATAAGGAGAAGTCATAGGGAGGAGGGAGCAAGCTTGTTTTCTGCTTCCCTGGAGACTAGGACGCAGAACAATGGCTTCAAACTACAAGAGAGGAGATTCCATCTGAACATGAGGAAGAACTTCCTGACTGTGAGAGCCGATCAGCAGTGGAACTCTCTGCCCCAGAGTGTGGTGGAGGCTCCTTCTTTGGAAGCTTTTAAACAGAGGCTGGATGGCCATCTGTCAGGGGTGATTTGAATGCAATATTCCTGCTTCTTGGCAGGGGGTTGGAAGGGGGAGGAGGTCTCTTCCAACTCTTTGATTCTATGATTCTAAGACCATGATGGCGAACCTATGACACGTGTGTCAGCACTGACACGCGTAGCCATTTTCGATGACACACGGTCGCATGCGGCCGCATACAGAGAAAATGGGGCTGCATCCCAAGAAAGACATTTCATCCGCGACTCCTACACCAGCATTTTTCTATAATGCCGAGATATATGGCATTATAGAAAAAGCAGATAAGTTAAATAATTAGTTTTTGGTTTATTAAATACAGTTATACATTACAATGATATATTTTTGTTATTAAACTATAAATATCATGAAATTATGGGTTTTTTTCTCGAATTGACACCCCACCCAAGTTATGCTCATTTTTTGGGCAAGTATTGACACACCAAGCTCAAAAGATTGCCCATCATTGTTCTAAGAACTTCCTGACTGCGAGAGCTGTTCAGCAGTGGAACTCTCTGCCCCGGAGTGTGGTGGAGGCTCCTTCTTTGGAAGCTTTTAAACAGGGGCTGGATGGCCATCTGTCGGGGGTGCTTTGAATGCAATATTCCTGCTTCTTGGCAGAATGGGGTTGGACTGGATGACTCAGGAGGTGTCTTCCAACTCTTTGATTCTATGATTCTAAGAACTTCCTGACTGTGAGAGCTGTTCAGCAGTGGAACTCTCTGCCCCGGAGTGTGGTGGAGGCTCCTTCTTTGGAAGCTTTTAAACAGGGGCTGGATGGCCATCTGTCAGGGGTGCTTTGAATGCAATATTCCTGCTTCTTGGCAGAATGGGGTTGGACTGGATGGCACATGAGGTCTCTTCCAACTCTTTATGAGGAAGAACTTCCTGACTGTGAGAGCCGTTCAGCAGTGGAACTCTCTTCCCTGGAGTGTGGTGGAGGCTCCTTCTTTGGAAGCTTTTAAACAGAGGCTGGGTGGCCATCTGTCGGGGGTGCTTTGAATGCAATATTCCTGCTTCTTGGCAGAATGGGTTGGACTGGATGGCCCAGGAGGTCTCTTCCAACTCTTGGATTCTGTGATTCTAAGAACTTCCTGACTGTGAGAGCCGTTCAGCAGTGGAACTCTCTGCCCCGGAGTGTGGTGGAGGCTCCTTCTTTGGAATCTTTTAAACAGGGGCTGGATGGCCATCTGTCAGGGGTGATTTGAATGCAATATTCCTGCTTCTTGGCAGAGGGGTTGGACTGGATGGCCCATGAGGTCTCTTCCAACTCTTTGATTCTGTGATCCGGACTCTGCACTCTGCACATGCTCAGAGACCGACTCTCTTTCTCCTCCTGCACTCTGCACATGCTCAGAGACCGACTCTCTTTCTCCTCCTGCACTCTGCACATGCTCAGAGACCGACTCTCCTTCTCCTCCTGCACTCTGCACATGCTCAGAGACCGACTCTCCTTCTCCTCCTGCACTCTGCACATGCTCAGAGACCGACTCTCCTTCTCCTCCTGCACTCTGCACATGCTCAGAGACCTAATGGGATCAGCCAGGTGTCAGAGAGAGAAGGGCCTGCGTGAGGTGGGCTGGAAGGCTTGGGAAGGGGCCGGAGAGGCTGGGCCAGGCCTCCCTCCCTCCCTTCCTTCCCTCGAAAAGAGCTCTCTGCACATGCTCAGGGGCCCAGCCGGATCCTCCATCCAAGCCAGGCCTGCCCCCCCTGCCCTCACTCACCATGGTACAGATGGAGGCGAGTCTCCGCACCGTCATCAGGACTTCCATCCGCCCGGCAGCCGGCAGCCTCCCGCCATCTTGGATGAGCCGCAGGTGGCGCCACGCACAAAACGCTCCGCTCGGTGCAGCGCCCAAAAGGGCCCGGCGCCACCGGAATGCCCTGGGAGAAAGGTTCCGGGGGAAATCAGTTCCTACCTCTTTCTTCCTCCTTCTCTCTATCTAAATAAATAAAAATGTAAAGTTCGTTTGTGATACTATCAGAACTCGAAACCCACTGGGGGATTTGACACCAAATTTGGACACAACACACCTAACAACCCAATGTATGTCCTCCACTCAAAAAAATTGATTTTGCCATTTGGGAATTTATAGTTTACCTACAATCAAATAGCATTCTGAACTCCACCAACTCCAGAGAGCACTGTGGACTCAAACAATGATGGATCTGGACCAAACTTGGCACGAATATTCCATATGCCCAAATATGAACACAGATGGAGTTTAAGGGAAATAGACCTTGACATTTGGCAGTTGTAGTTGCTGGGATTTATAGTTCACCTACAATCAAAGAGCATTCTGAACTCCACCAGCGATGGATCTAGACCAAACTTGGCACGAATATTCCATATGCCCAAATATGAACACAGATGGAGTTTGGAGGAAATAGACCTTGACATCTGGGAGTTGTACTTACTGGGATTTATCGTTCACCTACAATCAAAGAGCATTCTGAACCCCACCAATGATGGAATTCAACCAAACATGGCATACAGGACTTCCATGATCAACAGAAAACACTTAGAAGGGTTTGGTGGGCATTGACCTTGAGTTTGGGAGTTGTAGTTCACCTACAGAGAGCACTGTGGACTCAAACAATGATGGATCTGGACCAAACTTGGCACGAATATTCCATATGCCCAAATATGAACACAGATGGAGTTTAAGGGAAATAGACCTTGACATTTGGCAGTTGTAGTTGCTGGGATTTATAGTTCACCTACAATCAAAGAGCATTCTGAACTCCACCAGCGATGGATCTAGACCAAACTTGGCACGAATATTCCATATGCCCAAATATGAACACAGATGGAGTTTGGAGGAAATAGACCTTGACATCTGGGAGTTGTACTTACTGGGATTTATCGTTCACCTACAATCAAAGAGCATTCTGAACCCCACCAATGATGGAATTCAACCAAACATGGCATACAGGACTTCCATGATCAACAGAACACACTGGAAGGGTTTGGTGGACATTGACCTTGAGTTTGGGAATTATAGTTCACCCACATCCAGAGAGCACTGTGGACTCAAACAATGATGGATCTGGACCAAACTTGGCATACAATACTCAATATGCCCAAATGTGAACACTGGTGGAGTTTGGGGAAAATAGACCTTGACATTTGGGAGTTGTCGTTGCTGTGATTTATAGTTCACCTACAATCAAAGAGCATTCTGAACCCCACCAGCGACGGATCTAGACCAAACTTGGCACGAATATTCCATATGCCCAAATATGAAAACAGATGAAGTTTGGAGGAAATAGACCTTGACATTTGGGAGTTGTAGTTGCTGGGATTTATAGTTCACCTACAATCAAAGAGCATTCTGAACTCCACCAATGATGGAATTGAACCAAACATGGCATACAGGACTTCCATGACCAACAGAACACCCTGGAAGGGTTTGGTGGACATTGACCTTGAGTTTGGGAATTATAGTTCACCCACATCCAGAGAGCACTGTGGACTCAAACAGTGATGGGTCTGGACCAAACTCTACACAAATACTCAGTGTGCCAAATGTGAACACTGGTAGAGTTTGAGTTAAATATACCTTGACTTTTGGGAGTTGTAGTTGCTAGGATTTATAGTTCACCTACAATCAAAGAGCATTCTGAACTCCACCAACGATGGAATTGGGCCAATCTTGGCACAAATATTACATATGCCCAAATATGAAAACAGATGAAGTTTGGAGGAAATAGACCTTGACATTTGGGAGTTGTAGTTGCTGGGATTTATAGTTTACCTACAATCAAAGAGCTTTCTGAACCCCACCAATGATGGAATTCAACCAAACATGGCATACAGGACTTCCATGACCAACAGAACACACTGGAAGGGTTTGGTGGACATTGACCTTGAGTTTGGGAACCATAGTTCACCCACATCCAGAGAGCACTGTGGACTCAAACAATGATGGATCTGGACCAAACTTGGCACGAATATTCCATATGCCCAAATAGGAACACAGACTGAGTTTAAGGGAAATAGACCTTGGCATTTGGGAGTTGTAGTTGCTGGGATTTATAGTTCACCTACAATCAAGGAGCATTCTGAACTCCACCAGCGATGGATCTAGACCAAACTTGGCACGAATATTCCATATGCCCAAATATGAACACAGATGGAGTTTGGAGGAAATAGACCTTGACATTTGGGATTTGTACTTACTGGGATTTATAGTTCACCTACAATCAAAGAGCATTCTGAACTCCACCAGCGATGCATCTAGACCAAACTTGGCATGAATAATCAATATGCCCAAATATGAACACAGATGGAGTTTGGAGGAAATAGACCTTGACATTTGGGATTTGTACTTACTGGGATTTATAGTTCACCTACAATCAAAGAGCATTCTGAACTCCACCAATGATGGAATTCAACCAAACATTGCATACAGGATGGCCTCAAAGCCAACCTTAAAAACTCTGGCATAGACACTGAGAACTGGGAAGCCCTGGCCCTTGAGTGCTCCAGCTGGAGGTCAGCTGTGACCAGCAGTGCTGTAGAATTCGAGGAGGCACGAGTGGATGGTGAAAGAGTGAAACGTGCCAGGAGGAAGGCGCGTCAAGCCAACCCCGACCGGGACCGCCTTCCACCTGGAAACCAATGCCTTCACTGTGGGAGAAGATGTGGGTCAAGAAGAGGGCTCCACAGCCACCTACGAACCCACAAGGAAACCCATCATGGAAGACCATCTTACTCGTCCAACGAGGGATCGCCTAAGTAAGAAAGTAAGTACAGGACTTCCACGACCAACAGGACACACTGGAAGGGTTTGGTGGGCATTGACCTTGAGTTTGGGAGTTGTAGTTCACCCACATCCAGAGAGCACTGTGGACTCAAACAATGATGGATCTGGACCAAACTTGACACAAAAATTCCATATGCCTAAATATGAACACAGATGGAGTTTGGAGGAAATAGACCTTGACATTTGGGATTTGTAGTTACTGGGATTTATAGTTCACTACAATTAAAGAGCATTCTGAAACCCACAAACGACAGAAATGGGGCAAACTTCCCACACAGAAGCCCCATGACCAACAGAAAATACTTAAGGCCATCCAGTCCAACTCTCTTCACCAGGGCAAGAAAACGTAATCAAAGCCCTCCTGACAGAGAGCCATCCAGTCATCAATATTGATAGATATGATTCTCTCTCACACACACAGATATAGTATCATAGATTTGAAAGAGACCCTTAAAGAAGGACAATGATATGTGGCATATTCCAGAGTAGGCAAACCAGACACTCTCCACATCAACACTGGCAAAGAAACAGCAAGAAATACTGTTTACTCACAAGCATAAAAGACATGACATACATTAGAAACCAACACTTTCTCATTACTTTATTTTCCAGATCAACAGACTGGGCCACAGCAACGCTTGGCAGGGGACAGCTAGTAGAATCATAAAATCATAGAGTTGGGCCATCCAGTCCAACCCCATTCTGCCAAAAAGCAGGAATATTGCATTCAAAGCACCCCCAACAGATAGACATCCAGCCCCTGTTTAAGAACTTCCAAAGAAGGAGCCCCCGCCACACTCCAGGGCAGAGAGTTCCACTGCTGAACGGCCCTCACAGTCAGGAAGTTCTTCCTCATGTTCAGGTGGAATCTCCTTTCTTCTTCCACCTTTCTTCCCAAGCAGAGGATTATTTGTTTGTTTGTTTGCATCCTGCTTTATCTCTCCCTGCGGAGACTCAAAGTGAAGTCAAACATGACCCCCCCCCCCCAACCCATAAGAGATAGTAACATAGTTTTGCTAAGGGCAAGGACACCAGGCTGGATAACAAGGGTTAAACCTTGGTCAGTTTGGTGTGTATCATTTAATCAAGGCTTTATGCTCTATTTTCATATGTTTACAGCAGAAAGTAACCCATTTATTACTGAAAATCATGCCACAAAAGTATTTGAATTTTCCCATCTGAGGCACACCTGGGCTCCTGATGGTCCTCCATCTCACCAACAAGGGACTCTATTTCCCCCTCGGAGATATTTCCCTTTATGGACACTGGGAGAAGTTAGTTGGGTTTACTCTCTGTATTATAATTTCTATATTTTCATATTTTCTCCTGTATTTCTATATTTCCCCTCATGTTTCCTTGTATTCCTGACCCTTTGCCCCCTTCTCCCCCCAAAGAAGTATGTAAGGGAACCACCTGGCCTTCAGAAACAAAAGCCATTAGTGATTACCGAAACCTCCAGCCAGAGACACACTTGCATGGATAATAGGAAAGGATTCTTATCTCTAGCATCGGAGATGGCCCACTAGAGTAAAGAATTGTTTGGCAAAGTTTCTATCACTCTTCAAGTAAGATAAGGGGAAATCTTCCCTTCTGCTTTTTGTTCACTTCCCATTGATAGCATTAACCCCAGGCTGCCCTCATTGTTCTCCTGTCTCACAGCTAGGAAGGATCTGGATATTTTTACACATGTTGATTCACAACACTCAAAACACAACAGGTCAGTCCTGCTTGAGCTTTTTGTCTCGGAGGCCACATGGCATTTCCTTTGTTTAAAGACTCCTTCCCAGATTCCTTTGTGTTCTATCATCCCGCCTCCCTCTCTCCAGATTTGCTGTCGCCGCCAGGTGGCAGAGGTCTCCCCATTGGATTCTACGGACCACTGGAGCTTCCTGATTGGTTCAGAGGCGGCGGTGGCGGCGGGAGGGCCACCTCCCAGCTGTTCGCCCATTGCCCAATCACGGCGGGGAATGTCAGGGAAGCTGGGGCAGGAAGTTTGAACTCTGCAACTTTGAATTTACTATAAATATGACTGTATTGGTGTATTCTCCTCATGGTCTGCTGGCGAATGATTGCAGCTCTGCATCCATTTCAGCTGAATCGCAAATAAAACCTCAATGGCTTTTCTTCAACTTGGTGAGACCTTTCAGTGGGAAATCAGGGAAAAATATTGGGTGCTTCTCTTCTCGCCAGGGAAAAAGAACTCTTTGATGAGTCTAATTGGTCCCTGCCTCCTGGCAAAGACCCCTAAATTTTAGCTCTAGACCAAAAGCGGCTCACAATCAAAAACACTGCATGTGTCGTTACACCCAGACGCTTTTAAAAGCAAAACTATGATGTGCTGTTCCCTATGTCTGGGCGAACTGCCGGTGCTTTTCTTGAGAAGATTGAGATTCTCAGCAACTGAGTCTATTACAAGTTCTGAACATCAAAAAAGGATATTTATTTCTCAAAGTTGCAAACAGAACAGTCAATTGATAAAACCAAATAGATATTTCTTCTTTCTCTTCTCCACCAGTTACTGAGTCAGCCTTTCCCCAAGTGGCAAAGGGATCTGGGGATCCTTCACCCTAATCCAGGGTGTGATTATCAATATTATATGTATATAGTAAAAGGTAAAGGTTTCCCCTTGACATTAAGTCTAGTTGTGTTGTTGTCCAGCTCTGAGCAGTGATGCTCATCTCCATTTCTAAGCCAAAGAGCCGGTGTTGTCCATAGACACCTCCAAGGTCATGTGGCTGGAGTTCGAAGTAGAGCAACTGCTTTGGGAGACGGTGGTCAGGCATCCGGACAACGTGGTTGGTCCAGTTGATGGCGGAGCACCATTGCTTCAATGCTGGTGGCCTTTACTTCTTCCAGCACACTGACGTTTGTCCGCCTGTCTTCCCAAGAGATTTGCAGGATTTTCCGGAGGCAGCGCTGATGGAATCGTTCCAGGAGTTGCATGTGATGTCTGTACACGGTCCACGTCTCACAGGCGAATAGAAGGGTTGGGAGGACAATAGCTTTATAAACAAGCCCCTTGGTCTCCCTACAGATGTCCTGGTCCTCAAACACTCTCGGCTTCATTTGGAAAAATGCTGTACTCGCAGAGCTCAGGCGCTGTTGTATTTCAGTCTCAATGTTGACGCCTGTAGATAGTCCACATCTCGCAGGCGTATAGCAGGGTTGGGAGGACAATAGCTTTATAAACAAGCAACTTGGTATCCCTACAGATGTCCCGGTCCTCAAACACTCTCTGCTTCATTCGTAAAAATGCTGCACTAGTTGTGACGGCGCGAGTGGCGCCACCTATGTATAGAACTGTTAGTTGCAAGATTTAAACTGCCCCCCCCCCCCGGTGGCGCAGTGGGTTAAAGCACTGAGCTGCTGAGCTTGTTGATCGAAAGGTCTCAGGTTCGATTCCGGGGAGCAGCGTGAGCTTCCGCTGTCAGTCCTAGCTTCTGCCAACCTAGCAGTTCGAAAACATGCAAATGTGAGTAGATCAATAGGTAGCGCTCCAGCGGGAAGGTAACGGCGCTCCATGCAGTCATGCCGGCCACATGACCTTGGAGGTGTCTATGGACAACGCCGGCTCTTCGGCTTAGAAATGGAGAAATGGAGAAATGGAGATGTGGACCATCTACACCTCAGGGTCAAACATGACTGGACTTAATGTCAAGGGACTACCTATCATGCTTAATCCTGCTCCTTTTACCCTGCTTATTTATAGTTGTATGGATTGGTTACTTATAGCTGTCAATCAGTACTGTTTGGCTCCACCTCTTCCTGCAGGAGGGGAGTGCTTCCTTTCTTTTTCATTCTGCCATCAGAGTTCCTACCATCTGGACGTGAGTAAAAGACTTGACTCTAAAGGACCCTGATTTAAGTTACCTCTTAGCACCAGTTCTGAGGTTTTTTACCCTTGGGACTCATGCTTTATGTCCAGATCATCCTGGACAACATTGAGGAGACCCAAGCGCCTTCAAACCGGTTCTTTTGGCACCAAAGGAAGATCCTTAGTCTTCAAAACATAGGACATCTGAACTGGGGTTGTGGTTTGCTCCGGCATTCACAGCCATTGAGGAAAGAGGAAACTTGGTGAGGCTTCTCAGCTTCAAACCCCTTGGACCCAGGACTAATTCAGACTGTAACGTATATTTTCCTTCACCCCTCTGAAGTTTTCCAGCTCATTGCTTTAAGAAATAACTCTTTGTGATCAATAAAACTTATTTTGAGTTATTTACAACGTTTTGGGTTTTTGAGAGTTCTAGTTTCCTATAGGAGGGCAAGAAGCAATCCCCTTGGGGAAAGATGCCATGTCCATGCCTCCTTCATTAAGAATAATAGCCCCCAAGCACGACGGCACACTCGCAGAGCTCAGGTGTTGTTGAATTTCAGTGTCAATGTTGACTTTTGACCATTGACAATGACAATGTTGACTGTTACGACTGAGGCGGAAAAGGAAAGGGCCTGAGTCTGTTAGGAATTGTGGAAGTTGGAGTCCAAAACACCTGGAGAGCCCAAGTCTTCCTAAGAGATTTGCAGGATTTTCTGGAGGCAACATTCCAGGAGATGCATATGAACTAGTCCAATGTGGGCAAGGCAAAACTACGGTGAGGAGGATCAGTAATTGGTTAAATGGACGAACCCAGAGGGTGATTCTCCCCAAGGCTTCCTCTTCATCTTGGAAAGAAGTGACGAGTGGAGTGCCAGGGTTCCGTCCTGGGCCCGGTCCTGTTCAGGATCTTTATTAATGACTTAGATGAAGGGTTAGAAGGCAGGATCATCAAGTTTGCAGACGACACCAAATTGGGAGGGATAGCCAAGACTCCAGAGGACAGGAGCAGGATTCAAAACGATCTGGACAGATTAGAGAGATGAATGGCCAAAACTAACAAAATGAAGTTCAACAGTGACAAATGCAAGATACTCCACTTAGGCAGAAAAAACAAATGCAAAGATACAGAATGGGGGACGCCTGGCTCGAGAGCAGTACGTGTGAAAAAGATCTTGGAGTCCTCGTGGACAACAAGTTAAACATGAGCCAACAATGTGATGTGGCGGCAAAAAAAGCCAATGGGATTTTGGCCTGCATCAAGAGGAGCCTAGTGTCTAGATCTAGGGAAGTCATGCTCCCCATGCTCTATTCCGCTTTGGTTAGACCATACCTGGAATATTGTGTCCAATTCTGGGCACCACAATTCAAGAGAGATATTGACAAGCTGGAATGTGTCCAGAGGAGAGCGACTAAAATGATAAGGGTCTGGAGAACAAGCCCTATGAGGAGCGGCTTAAGGAGCTGGGCATGTTTAGCCTGAAGAAGAGAAGGCTGAGAGGGGATATGATAGCCTTGTATAAATATGTGAGAGGAAGCCACAGGGAGGAGGGAGCAAGCTTGTTTTCTGCTTCCTGGAGACTAGGACGCGGAACAATGGCTTCAAACTACAAGAGAGGAGATTCCATCTGAACACGAGGAAGAACTTCCTGACTGTGAGAGCCGTTCAGCAGTGGAACTCTCTGCCCCGGAGTGTGGTGGAGGCTCCTTCTTTGGAAGCTCATAGAATCATAGAATCAAAGAGTTGGAAGAGACCTCCTGGGCCATCCAGTCCACCCCATTCTGCCAAGAAGCAGGAATATTGCATTCAAATCACCCCTGACAGATGGCCATCCAGCCTCTGTTTAAAAGCTTCCAAAGAAGGAGCCTCCACCACACTCCGGGGCAGTGAGTTCCACTGCTGAACAGCTCTCACAGTCAGTGAATGGCTCTCACAGTCAGAAGCTTTCAAACAGAGGCTGGATGGCCATCTGTCAGGGGTGATTTGAATGCAAATCACCCCACCCCATTCCCACGCAGACTTCCCTCCCTTTCCCCTCCCTTCCTTGTTTCTTGGCAGAATGGGGTTGGACTGGATGGCCCAGGAGGTCTCTTCCAACTCTTTGATTCTATGATTCCAAAGAAGGAGCCTGCACCACACTCCGGGGCAGTGAGTTCCACTGCTGAACGACTCTCACAGTCAGTGAACGGCTCTCACAGTCAGAAGCTTTTAAACAGAGGCTGGATGGCCATCTGCCAGGGGTGATTTGAAGGCAATATTCCTGCTTCTTGGCAGAATGGGGTTGGACTGGATGATGGCCCAGGAGGTCTCTTCCAACTCTTTGATTCTATGATTCTATGACGTCTGTAGACAGTCCACGTTTCTGGAACATGGCCACTATATGAACTGTGCTGTGAATTTTCCGGGCTGCCTTTCCATGTTCCAGAAGCATGCTCTCCTGACGTTTTGCCCAGAAAAGTCACAACCCAGTTCATATAGTAAATGCCCAGTGGGGAGGTGGGGGGGGGGACCTCTTGCCTTTGGGGTCTTTGCAGGCTTGGCTTCAGGAGGAGGGAGGGAGGGAGGGAGGAAGGGGGCGAGGACAGCCCTCCGTTGGCCCCTCATTGGCCCAGGAACTTGGGAGGAATCCGCTTTCACCCAGCCCTCCCCTCTCCTCCCTTTCCGAGCTGTGGGGAAGCCAGTGCAGCCCAGAAGCAGAAGCTGGTGGGGTTCCTCCTGCAGAAGGCAAGCCAGGCAGAGGCTCCTTTGTGTCCCGAGGGGCATGCGCCTCCCCGCCAGGACCACCACCATGTCCCAGTTCTCGCCCAGTTTCCTGCTGGTGCCCATCCCGGAGGACCCCCTCCTGGACTGCGCCCCCAACAAAGTCCTCAAGCTGGTCGTCCTGGGAGGAAGCGGCGTCGGAAAGACCGGTCAGGCACCCCCCCCCCACCCCCTTCCCACGAGGGCTTCCCTCCCTCTCCCCTTCTTTGCCTTTCCCTTCTTCCTCTTTTTTCTTCCTTTTCGTCCCCATCTTCCTCTTCTTCCTCCTTTCTTTCTCCTCTTGCTCTTCCTTCTTTTTCATCCCCCTTTTTCCTCCTTCCTTCCTTCTCTTCACCTCCTCCTTTCTTTCCCTCCTTCCTTCCTTCTCCTTCCTTCCTCCTTCCCTTCCTGTTCCTCCTTCTTTCTTTTCCTTCCTTCCCTTCTTTCCTCTTTTCCTCTCTTCCTTCCTTCCCTTCCTTCCTTTCCTTCCTTTCCTTCCTTCTTCCTTCCCCTTCTCCCCCTTCCCCTTCCCCTTCCCTTTTTCTTTTTCTCCTTTCCTTCCTTTCCTTCCCTTCTTTTCCTTTCCCTTCCTTCCTTTCCCCTTCCCTTCCCTTCCTTCTTCCTTTCCCCTTTCCTTTCCCTTCCACCCTTTTCCCCTCCCTCTTTCTTTCTTTTCTTCCTTCTTCCCTCCCTCCCTCTTTTCCCTCCCTCTTTCCTTCCTTCTCTTCCCTTCTTTCCTTTTCCCTCCCCTCCCTTCTTTCCTCCCTCCCTTCCTTCCCTTCCACCTTTCCCCTCCTTTCTTCCCTCCCCTTCCTTCTTTCCCTTCCCTTTTCCCTTCCTTTCTTTTCTTCTCCTTCCCCCTCCTTTTTTCCCTTCCCCCTTTCCCTCCCCTTTCCTTCCCCTTCCTTCCTTCCCCTTCCCCTTTCTCTTCCTTCCCCTTCCCTTCCTTCCCTTCTTTCCCTTCCTTCTTCCTTCCCTTCCCTTTTTCTTCTTCCTCTCTCCCCTTCCTTCCTTCCCCTTCCCTTCCCTTTTCTTCCCCTTCCTTCCCTTCTTTCCCTCCTTCTTCCTTCCCCTTCCTTCCCTTCCTTTCCCCTTCCCCCTTTCCTTTCCCTTCTTTTCCTTCCCCTTCCCCTTTTTCCCCTTCCCTTCTTTCTTTCCCTTTCCTCCTTCCCTTCTTCCTTCCCTTTCCTCCTTCCTTCCTTCCTTTCCTCCCTCCCTCCTTTCCCTTCCTTTCCCCTTCCTTTCCTCCTTCCCCTTCTTTCCTTCCCCTTCCTTTCCACTCCATTCCCTTTCTATCCCTTGCCACCCAGATCCTTTCCCCCTTGCTTTCCTTTCCCCCTCCCTTTCTTTCCCCTTTCTTCCCTTTCTCCTTCATTTCCTTTACCACTTCCTTCTTCTTTCCTTTCCCCTTACCTTCCATTCCTTTCCCCTTCCCTTCCTTTCCCATTCCCCCATCTTCCCTTTCCTTTTTTCCCTTTCCCACTTTCCCCATATTTCTCTTCCCTTCCCCTTCCTTTCCATTCCCTTCTTTTCCATTTCCCCTTTCCTTTCCCTTTCTTTCCCCTTTCCCACTTCTTTCCCTTCTTCTTTCCCTTTCCTCCCCCTTTCCCTCCTTTTTCCTTTCTATCCTTTCCTCACCCTTTCCCTTCCTTTTTTTACTTCTCTACTATTCCTCCCTCCTTGTGTCTTCCTTTGCTAACTTCCCCCTTTCCTCCCTTATCCCTTCAGTCATTTCTTCCTTTCCCTTTACTTCCTTCTTTCCTCCTTCTCTTTTTCTCTTCCTTCCTCCTGTTGCTCCTCAGCTATTCTTCCTCTGCCTCTTCCCCCTCTTTCTTTCCTTCCCTAACCCTTTCCTTATCCTTTCTTCTTCCCTTTGCATCCCTTTTCTTCCTTCTCTTTTTTCCTCCCTTCCTTTCCCCCTTTCCCTCATCTTTCTTCTTCCACTCCCTCTTTCTCACCAATTCCTTCCATAGCCTCCCTACTTGTCTTCCTTCATTCTTTCCCTTTTCCTCCTTCTTCTCTTTCCTCCCTCCTTTCACTTCCTTTCCCTGGTGTGTACATTTATCACAAGATCTTTGCATTTTGCAGCTATTTCAGTTTGCAAAAAAGGTCAATAGAGGACAGAGGATGCAATCAATACATTCATACAATGTATATCCTCCTCTGTGTTGTTTACATTTGTAATAATGTTACCGGCCTTTTAAAAGTGCTCAAAGTCTTCCCAACCATGAGCGATGGCTAGAAGATTCCCAAGGGTACAGTCTGGGAATGATGTCACACGGAACTACGTGTTGCTTTGAGCACATATGAATTCCGGGACATATGTTTCTCAAGGTAATCTGAGCCTCGGTGGGTGGGATGTTCGCCTGGGAAATCCGTTGTTTTGGGGGAACGCTGCTCGAGACCTTCCCATGCCCTGCGAGTCATGGTTGCAACAGACCCCCTTCCTGCATTTCTTCCTCCTTCTCAGTCGATACTCGTAGAATCATAGAATAGGAAAGGATCCCAGGGGCAATTCAGTCCTTCTGCAAGGAGAAAGACACCATCAAAGCCTTCCCAACAGATGGACATCCAGCCCAGTCTCCTTCTGCCAGGAGGGAAGACACCATCAAAGCCCTCTTAACAGATTCCCATCCATCTACGCCCCCAACAGATTGGCCTGCATCAATAGGAGCCTAGTGTCTAGATCTAGGGAAGTAATGCTGCCCATGCTCTATTCCGCTTTGGTTAGACCACACCTGGAATATTGTGTCCAATTCTGGGCACCACAATTCAAGAGAGATATTGACAAGCTGGAATGTGTCCAGAGGAGGGCGACTAAAATGATCAAGGGTCTGGAGAACAAGCCCTATGAGGAGCTGCTTAAGGAGCTGGGCATGTTTAGCCTGAAGAAGAAGGCTGAGAGGAGACATGATCGCCATGTATAAATATGTCAGAGGAAGCCACAGGGAGGAGCGACTAAAATGATCAAGGGTCTGGAGAACAAGCCCTATGAGGAGCGGCTTAAGGAGCTGGGCATGTTTAGCCTGAAGAAGAGAAGGCTGAGAGGATATGATAGCCATGTATAAATATGTGAGAGGAAGCCACAGGGAGGAGGGAGCAGACCAAGGGTCTGGAGAACAAGCCCTATGAGGAGCGGCTTAAGGAGCTGGGCATGTTTAGCCTGAAGAAGAGAAGGCTGAGAGGAGATATGATAGCCATGTATAAATATGTGAGAGGAAGCCACAGGGAGGAGGGAGAAGATCAAGGGTCTGGAGAACAAGCCCTATGAGGAGCGGCTTAAGGAGCTGGGCATGTTTAGCCTGAAGAAGAGAAGGCTGAGAGGAGATATGATAGCCATGTATAAATATGTGAGAGGAAGCCACAAGGAGAAGGGAGCAGATCAAGGGTGTGGAGAACAAGCCCTATGAGGAGCGGCTTAAGGAGCTGGGCATGTTTAGCCTGAAGAAGAGAAGGCTGAGAGGAGACATGATAGCCATGTATAAATATGTGAGAGGAAGCCACAGGGAGGAGGGAGCAAGCTTGTTTTCTGCTTCCTTGGAGACTAGGACACGGAACAATGGCTTCAAACTAGAAGAAAGGAGATTCCAGCTGGAATGTGTCCAGAGGAGGGCGACTAAAATGATCAAGGGTCTGGAGAACACGCCCTATGAGGAGCGGCTTAAGGAGCTGGGCATGTTTAGCCTGAAGAAGAGAAGGCTGAGAGGAGATATGATAGCCATGTATAAATATGTGAGAGGAAGCCACAGGGAGGAGGGAGCAGATCAAGGGTCTGGAGAACAAGCCCTATGAGGAGCGGCTTAAAGAGCTGGGCATGTTTAGCCTGAAGAAGAGAAGGCTAAGAGGAGATATGATAGCCATGTATAAATATGTGAGAGGAAGCCACAGGGAGGAGGGAGCAGATCAAGGGTCTGGAGAACAAGCCCTATGAGGAGTGGCTTAAAGAGCTGGGCATGTTTAGCCTGAAGAAGAGAAGGCTGAGAGGAGACATGATAGCCATGTATAAATATGTGAGAGGAAGTCATAGGGAGGAGGGAGCAAGCTTGTTTTCTGCTGCCCTGGAGACTAGGACGTGGAACAATGGCTTCAAACTACAAGAAAGGAGATTCCATCTGAACGTGAGGAAGAACTTCCAGACTGTGAGAGCCATTCAGCAGTGGAACTCTCTGCCCCAGAATGTGGTGGAGGCTCCTTCTTTGGAAGCTTTTAAACAGAGGCTGGATGGCCATCTGTCAAGGGTGATTTGAGTGCAATATTCCTGCTTCTTGGCAGAATGGGGTTGGACTGGATGATGGCCCATGAGGTCTCTTCCAACTCTTTGATTCTGTGATCCGGACTCTGCACTCTGCACATGCTCAGAGACCGACTCTCCTTCTCCTCCTGCACTCTGCACACGCTCATGATGCCCATGAGGTCTCTTCCAACTCTTTGATTCTATGATTCTAGCCTGTCCCCTAAATAGAAATCCCTGAATCCCATTGAAAAGGCACCGACTCTTTCTCTTCTTCTGCAGCCCTGATTGTGCGTTTCCTCACCAAGAGGTTCATTGGAGACTACGAAGCCAACACCGGTAAGTTTTGAATGAAGCTCCCCATCCAAACAAAGCACTTTCTGCTCTTGCTCCATTCTTGTAGAATGAATGCAGTGTTACCTCACTTGAATTGCCGTGTCTCAGTGCTATGTAATCCTAAGAGCTGTCATTCTACAAAGTCTTGAGCCTTCTTTGCCAAAGAGTGCTGATGCCTTGCCTAGCTACAAATCCCAGGACTCCATAGCATGGTGCCATGGCAGTTAAAGGGGTGTCAAATTGCTTTAATTCAGCAGCGTAAATAAGTGTTTCTCCACCTTCCTAATGCTACGATCGTTGAATACAGGTCCTTATGTTGTGGTGACCCCAACCATAACATTATTTTTGTTTTGTCAAAAGGCTTTCATGGCTGGAATCACTAGGTTCTTGTTGTTTTTTTCAGGCTATAGGGCCATGTTCTAGAGGCATTTTCTCCTGACGTTTCGCCTGCATCTATGGCAAGCATCCTCAGAGGTAGTGAGGTCTGTTGGAATTAGGACAATGGGTTTATATATCTGTGGAATGATTGGGGTGAGACAAAGAGCTCTTCTCTGCTGGAGCTAGGTGTGAATGTTTCAACTGACCACCTTCATTAGCATTAGAAGGCCTGGCTGAGCCTGGGGGAATATTGTGTTGAGAGGTGTTACGATGTGCCTGGTTGTTTCCTCTCTGCTGTTTTGCTGTTGTAATTTTTGAATTTTTTTAATACTGGTAGCCAGTTTTTGTTCATTTTCATGGTCTCTTCCTTTCTGTTGAAATTGTCCACATGCTTGTGGATTTCAATGGCTTCTCTGTGTAGTCTGACATGGTGGTTGTTAGAGTGGTCCAGCATTTCTGTGTTCTCAAATAATATGCTGTCCAGGTTGGTTCATCAGGTGCTCTGCTATGGCTGACTTCTCTCGTTGAAGTAGTCTGCAGTGCCTTTCATGTTCCTTGATACAGAGAAGCCATTAAAATCCACAAGCATGTGGACAATTTCAACAGAAAGGAGGAGACCATGAAAATGAACAAAATCTGGCTACCAGTATTAAAAAACTCTAAAATTACAACAGCAAAACAGCAGAGAGGAAACAACCAGGCACATCTTAACACCTTTCAACAAAAGATTCCCCCAGGCTCAGCCAGGCCTTCAAATGCTAATGAAGGTGGTCAGTTGAAACATTCACACCTAGCTCCAGCAGAGAAGAGTCCTTTGCCCCACCCTGGTCATTCCACAGATATATAAACCCATTTTCCTAGTTCCAACAGACCTCACTACCTCTGAGGATGCTTGTCATAGATGCAGGCAAAACGTCAGGAGAAAATGCCTCTAGAACATGGCCATATAGCCTGAAAAAACCCCACAAGAACTTATTATTTTTGTTGTTACTTCATAACTGTCATTCTGCTACTGTTATGAATTGTAGCGTAAATATCTGATATGCAAAATGCATTTTCATTCACTGGACCAAATTTGGCACAAATACCAAATACGCCAAAATTTGAATACTGGTGGGGTTGGGGGGGGGAGGATTGAGTTTGTCATTTGGGAGTTGTAGTTGCTGGGATTTATAGTTCACCTACAATCAAAGAGCATCCTAAACTCCACCAATGGTGGAATTGAACCAGACTTTGCACACAGAACTCCCATGACCAAGAGAAAATACTGAAAGGATTTGGTGGGCATTGACCTTGAGTTTGGGAGTTGCAGTTGGCATGAACACCCAATATGCCCAGATGTGAACACTGGTAGGGTTTAGGGGAAATAGACCTTGGCATTTGGAAGCTGTAGTTGTTGGGATCTATAGTTAACCTACAATTAAAGAGCATTCTGAACCCAGCCCACAGTGGATCTGCACCAAACTTGGCACACTACCTACATGGCCAACATTGAATACTGGTGGGGTTGGGGGGCAGTGTTTTTGAATTCTGGGAGTTGTAGTTCACCAACACCAAAAAGGAAGAGTAGGACAGGCGGAGAGATCTTCAGCCTTCTTTTCCAAAGAGTTCCCAACAACCAACACGAATCAAGGAACATGAAAGGCACTGCAGACTACTTCAACCAGAGAAGTCAGCCATAGCAGAGCACCTGATGAACCACCCGGACACAGCATATTATTTGAGAACACAGAAATGCTGGACCACTCTCACAACCACCATGTCAGACTACACAGAGAAGCCATTGAAATCCACAAGCATGTGGACAATTTCAACAGAAAGAAGGAGACCATGAAAATGAACAAAATCTGGCTACCAGTATTAAAAAACTCTAAAATTACAACAGCAAAACAGCAGAGAGGAAACAACCAGGCACATCTTAACACCTCTCAACAGAACATTTTCCCAGGCTCAGCCAGGCCTACAAATGCTAATGAAGGTGGTCAGTTGAAACATTCACACCTAGCTCCAGCAGAGAAGACCTCTTTGCCCCACCCTAGCCATTCCACAGATATATAAACCCATTTTTCTGTTTCCAACAGACCTCACTACCTCTGAGGATGCTTGCCATAGATGCAGGCGAAACGTCAGGAGAAATGCCTCTAGAACATGGCCCTATAGCCCGAAAAAACCTACAAGAACCTAGTTCCTAAGATATATATTTTCTGATGGTCTTTGGTGACCCCTCTGAAACCCCACTCATGACTCCCCCCCAGGGGTCCTGATCCCCAGGTTGAGAAACACTGGCGTAGATTTATTATTTACAGTATTTGTGTACTGCTTTTCTCACCCCGAGGGGGGCTCTAAGCAGTTAGATGCACCCTTAGTTCAGAAGCTTCAAGTGGTCCAACGGGTGGCAGCCAGGTTTCTTACGTACAGGGAGCACACTACTCCGCTGCTGCGTCAGCTCCACTGGCTGCCAGTCTGCTACTTTAGTCTATAAAGCCCTAAACGGCTCCGGCCCAGCTTACCTGTCTGACTGCATCTCCCTCTATGAGCCAGTTGGAGTGTTAAGAACTTCTGGGGAGGCTCTGCTCTCAGTCCCACCTGCTTCGCAGGTGCAGTTGGTTGGAATGACAGACAGGAAGATTGTCTGGGATGGCCCAGCTCTCAGTCCACCTCCTTTGCAGGTGCAATTGGTTGGAACGAGAGACGGAAAGATCTTCTGGGGAGGCCCAGCTCTCAGTCCCACCTCCTTCACAGGTCCAATTGGTGGGAATGAGAGACAGGAAGATCTTCTGGGGAGGCCCTGCTTTTAGTCCCACTTCTTTCGCAGGTGCAATTGTTTGGAACGAGAGACAGGAAGATCTTCTGTGGAGGCCCTGCTCTCAGTCCCACCTCCTTCGCAGGTGCAATTGGTTGGAACAAGAGACAGGAAGATCTTCTGGGGAGGCCTTGCTCTCAGTCCCACCTCCTTCGCAGGTGCAATTGGTTGGAACAAGAGACAGGAAGATCTTCTGGGGAGAACCTGCTCTCAGTCCCACCTCTTTTGCAGGTGCAATTGGTGGGAACGAGTGACAGGGTCTTCTCCGTGGTGGCCCCTTGGCTATGGAATTCCATCCCCAGTGATATTAGATCAGCCTCCTTCCTCCTGATCTTTCGGAAAAAGTTAAATCCTACCTGTGGAAGCATGTGTTTGCTGAGTAGAAATTAGGAATTGAAGTGCAATGAACCCTTACGGTCTGCCATAGGAAGTAAGAAGTAATCTGGATGACAATTTTGGAGTTATGCTATGTTTTATATGTTTTACATGCTTTAATTGGTTTCAATTGTATTTATATGTGTTTCATTCTGTCTTCTTCATACCTTCTTTTTCTCCGCAGGTGCCTTGTATTCTCGCCAATTCACCATTGACGGTGAACAGGTCTCTCTGCAAGTTCAGGACACCCCTTTCGTTTCCTTAGAGGTAATATGGCTGTTTTGCATTCTCCAGGCGACCATTTTCCCCAACCTGACACCTTCCTGAACTTAGAAAGTTACATTTAAATGCAGAGTAAATGCATTGATATACTGAAGCCTCCTATACTTGAGCCAATGGGAAGGCGATGTTTTGGAGCTTCACACAGTAGCATTTTACACACAGCAGCCTTTGTACTGGAGCTTTACACATGAGGCCCTCAATCTGGGGCTTCTTCACCGAAGTTTCTCACAGCAGGTCTCACACTTGGTCTTCTCACAGACTAAGCCCTACCTCACACTGTGAAGTTTACCTCACAGACTACCGCCTACCTCACAGACTAAGGTCTACCTCACACTGTGAGGCGAACCTCACAGACTAATGCCTACCACACAGTGTGAGGCCTTCTCTCAGACTAACACCTACCTCACAGACTAACGCCTACCTCACAGACTAAGGTCTACCTCACACTGTTGACCTACCTCACAGACTAAGGCCTGTTTCACACTGTGAGGTCTACCTCACAGACTAACGCCTTCCTCACAGACTAAGGTCTACCTCAGACTGTGAGGCCTACCTCACAGACTAAGGTCTACCTCAGACTGTGAGGCCTTCTCTCACAGACTAAGGCCTACCTCACACTATGAAGCCTACCTCATAAACTAAGGCCTACCTCATAGATTAAGGCGTACCTCACACTGTGAGACCTACCTCACAGACTAAGGCCTACCACACAGTGTTGTGCCTTATTTATTTATTTATTTTTATTTATTTCCGTCACTTTTACCCCGCCCTTCTCACCCCCAAGGGGGGACTCAGGGCGGCTCACAGAGAAAGGCACAATTCGATGCCTTGTCACATATACATACATATATAAAAGCAATTAAACAATTACAAATTAAAAATTAAATCATCAATACAAACAATACCATAAACACAGTAGTAGGCTAATCCTGAGCTCAGCATTCGGAGTTCCGTAAATCCATTCCGTCTCGTCAAGTTCCAGCTCGTCATCAAGTCTTTCTTTAGCTGCCAGAATGTCCAAATGCCTGGTCCCATATCCAGTTTTTCAACTTTTTCCTAAATGAAAGAAGGGACGTTGCCAATCTAATCTCCCCGGGGAGTGAGTTCCACAGGTGGGGGGCCACCACCGAGAAGGCACTGCTCCTCGTCCCCTCCAATCTCACTTGTGATAGAGGCGGGGTCGAGAGCAGGGCCTCCCTAGAGGATCTTAGGTTCCGAGGTGGGACGTAGAGGGAGATCCGTTCGGATAGATACATTGGGCCGGAACCGTTTAGGGTTTTGTAGGTCAAAACCAGCACTTTGAATTGTGCTCGGAATTGGATCGGCAGCCAGTGGAGCTGACACAACAGGGGGGTGGTGTGCTCCCTGTATGTCACTCCGGTGAGCAATCTGGCTGCCTCTCGCTGGACCAGTTGGAGTTTCCAAGCAGTCTTCAAAGGCAACCCCATGTAGAGTGCATTGCAGTAATCCAATCGGGATGTAACAAGAGCGTGGACCACCGTGGCCAAGTCCGACTTCCCAAGGTACGGGCGCAGCTGGCGCACAAGTTTTAGTTGTGCAAAAGCTCTCCCGGCCACCGCCGAGACCTGGGGTTCCAGGCTCAGCGATGAGTCCAGGATCACTCCCTTCTCTCATAGACTAAGGCCAGCCTCGCACTGTGAGACCTATTACAGTATATTGTTGCAAGTCCAGTGTGTGTGTTAAAGAAAGCCTTACAGAAAAGCCTTGCAAAATGTTAATGATTAACTGGAGCTGCAAAACTAGCTCAGCTAAGCAAGGCTAGGCCACGCCTCTTGAATGTAACCGTTTTCTGAGGCTTTTGCAGACTGTTAGCAGTTGGCTGTTTGATTTGCTGGGGAGCAGATGCAAGAAGCTTATGCTATGGTGAAGTAACCATGTTTTATTTTGTTTTGCTCTATGATTTATAACAGAAGATTTATTCTGTATTACTTATAGAGACTATGTAAGTGTGCCAAGCTGTTTTATTTTCAACTCTACAACCAAGAGTAAAGTTCTACTGTTTTATTTCTTCTGACTGGTCTGTGTCTATGGCATTGGGTTTTTGGACATGTTGGACATTGCTACTGTGCAACAAATTGATTCTGCATAACAAGACCTACCTCACAGACTAAGGTCTACCTCAGACTGTGAGGTCTACCTCACAGACTAAGGCCTACCTCACACGGTGAGACCTACCTCAAGGACTAAGGCCTGTCTCACACTGTGAGGTCTACCTCACAGACTAACGCCTACCTCACACTGTGAGGCCTACCTCACAGACTAAGTCCTACATCATACTGTGAGGCCTACCTCACAGACTAACACCTACGACAAGGTGTGAGGCCTTCTCTCACAGACTAAGGCCTACCTCACACTATGAGGCCTACCTCATAAACTAAGGCCTACCTCATAGATTAAGGCGTACCTCACACTGTGAGACCTACCTCACAGACTAAGGCCTACCACACAGTGTTATGCCTTCTCTCACAGACTAAGGCCAGTCTCACACTATGAGGCCTACCTCACAGACTAAGTCCTACCTCACACTGTCAGGCCTACCTCACAGACTAAGGCCTACCACACAGTGTGAGGCCTTCTCTCACAGACTAAGGCCTACCTCACACTATGAGGTCTACCTCATAAACTAATGCCTACCTCATAGATTAGGGCGTTCCTCACACTGTGAGACCTACCTCACAGACTAAGGCCTACCACACAGTGTTATGCCTTCCCTCACAGACTAAGGCCTGTCTCACACTGTGAGGTCTACCTCACAGACTAATGCCTACCTCACAGAGTAAGGTCTACCTCACACTGTGAGGCCTGCTTACCACACAGTATGAGGCTTTCCCTCACAGACTAAGGCCTACCTCACACTGTGTGAGGCCTCCTCTCACAGACTAAGGCCTAACTCATAGACCAAGCCCTACTTCACAGACTAAGGCCTACCTCACATTTTGGGGACTTCTCTCATAGACTAAGGCCTACCCCACACTGAGGTCTTCTCACAGTCTAAGACCTTTCTCCCACTGAGGAAAACTAACACAGAGGCCTACAAAGTTACAGGCACACCTGCTTATATTGAACTGCAGCTTTTGCTTAGTCACTGCATCCATTTAACCCTTTCAATGCTTGACTCACAGTTTTGTAATGAAAAATTCCTAGTTAAATTTTTAATATTTCTGATCTTTATCCTTTCTTCTTCTGGACTCCAATGACAGGATGAAGGTGAGACCATCTGCTGCCAGGAGCAGATCAACCGCTCCATCTACTGGGCCGACGGCTTTGTCTTTGTCTACTCCATCGCGGACTTCCAGAGCTTCCGGGCCGTGCGCCCCTTGCACCTCCACGTCCGGAGGATCCACCCCAACGCCAACATCCCCCTGCTGCTGGTGGCCAACAAAGGGGACCTCCTGAGTGCCCGGCAGGTCTCGGCCAGGGAGGGCCTGCAGTTGGCCGGGGAGCTGGGCTGCCATTACGCCGAGGTCTCCGCTCGGGAAAATGGCGAAGGAGTCCACGAGGCCTTCCAGCAGCTCTGCCAGGAGATGAGCCGCATGATGGCGGCTGGGGGCTGCAACGGGGAGAAGCGGAGGGGCCTCCACCTCGTCCGGCCCAAGTCCCCCAACATGCAGGACCTCAAGAGGAGGCTCAAGCAGGCCTTGTCCTCCAAAGGGAGGGCGACGACCGCACTCTGACCGGCCCCCGAGGAACTCTTTGGGCCAGAAAGGAGTCAGAGCACCCATTCGGTGTTGTGTGTCTTCAAGTCGATTCTCACCGACGAGCCTATCATGGAGTTTTCGTGGCAAGATTTCCTCCCTCTGAGGCTGTGCCCTGCACGACATCCTGCCATTGACTTCCATTGCTAAGGACATGGTTTCTGAACATCATAGGAACTCTTTGGGCCAGAAAGGAGTCAGAGCACCCATTTGGTGTTGTGCGTCTTCAAGTCCATTCTCACCGACGATCCTATCATGGAGTTTTCATGGCAAGATTTCCTCCCTCTGAGGCTGTGCCCTGCACGACATCCTGCCATTGACTTCCATTGCTAAGGACATGGTTTCCGAACATCATAGGAACTCTTTGGGCCAGAAAGGAGTCAGAGCACCCATTCGGTGTTGTGCGTCTTCAAGTCGATTCTCACCTATCATGGAGTTTTCGTGACAAGATTTCCTCCCTCTGAGGCTGTGCCCTGTACGACATCCTGCCATTGACTTCCATTGCTAAGGACATGGTTTCCGAACATCCTAGTTCAACACTCAACCAGTACACCCCATTGAATCCGATATGAAAACCCTCTCCCAGGGATTTGTCAAGAGGAGGTTTGCTTTTGCCTCCACCTGAGGCTGAGAGAGCGTGCCTTACCCAGCCATAGCCTATCATGGTCAATCAGGGATTTGAGTCTTGGTATACTGCACGTTGGATCCAATATGATCGCTGTAAAGGAGGGTAAAACTACTGCCACCAAATGTGTGAGGAAAGCCGGGCAATGATCAACATCAGCTTAAGAGCTGGTTTATAAAGGGACTATTAGTTACAGAAGTATTTATTTATTTGATAGCGTAGCATTTACTGTCCCTGGTTTGGTTTTCCTACTTATGCAGGCTGTTTGACTTAGGAGAAACTGTATCAGACAAGTCTTGAGGAGAACAGTAACAATTTTATTGGAACAAGCAAGGTATAACAGATTTGATTGTTTCTTCACAAGAGGCACGAATCTTGACTGGTTACATTAGTAAGGTTTCATGAGTAACCTCAGGCACAGACTTTATGAGGTTTCTATAAGCAGATGTATCTCTCCTGGACAACTATCCCAACAAAACAAATAAGCCAAAAGGCTTATTTAATAGAATTGGCTCCCAGGCAAACCTTGATTCTTAACCCAGAATCAATAACCCCCTGTAGTCTTATCACTACTGGATCCTTTCCTGTAACCCCTTTGGTCACAAATTAATTCCCTGAATCTCCACCCAGAGATTCAGTCTTCCCTGTAGCTCACCGGCTTACAGACTGCCACTTTCAAACAGCTGCCCCGTGAAGAGGCAGTTGGCTCCACCCCCGTTGCTATGGCAACTCAGCTCAAGCCACCAGCCACCATCTCTAACAAAATATAATCCTACATACTTACCATTTATCAACCACTGTTCAAACAACACATAACCATATGAATTAAAAATTACACATCGTCACAATCGTGTTCTCCCAGAGTTTTCCTAGGCAGATTTATTCAGGATGCATTTCTTACTGCCTCCCTCTGAAGCTGAGAGAGTGTGGCATGCCCAATGTCCTGGTCAAGTAGGGATTCAGGTCTTAGCATCTGAGAATCTGAATCCAAGACTGAAACCACCTATGCTTTCCTTGAGGCTGAGAGAGTGTGCCTTGCCCAAAGTCACCCAATAGGCTTCCATAGCTGAGGGGGGATTTGAAACTTAGTCTCTCATAGTCCTAATCTAATAATACAATACATAATACACTTTATTTATATTCTTCTCTATCTCCCCAAAGGGGACTCAGAGCGGATTACAGTATACACATGTGTAGGCAAACATTCAGTGCCTTTTATACAGTGGTCAGCGACCATAATAAAGTTTTGTATTGTACAGTGAACAACAATGACACACAATACACAAACAAAGGCAAAGGTTTCCCTTTCCATTTCGGGTGTCTGGAGGCGATGCTCAACTCTGGCCATGTGGTGGTGCTCTTGTTCCATTTTCTATGCTGAGGAACCTGTTGTCCGAACACCCGTCTGATCATGTTGCCTGTATGGGTGCCTTTTATCTTCCTGCAGAGGCGATACCTATTGATCTACTCACATTGCATGTTTTCGAACTGCTAGCTTGGCAGAAGCTAGGGCTAACAGTAGGAGCTCACCCCAACCGATGGCTTTGGACTGCAAGTTTTTTCTGCAGCTAGTGGTTTGACCCGCTGTGTTACCGCGGCCATGCTGACTCTTAACACCAACTATATTGAGAGGTTGCCAAAGACCATCAGAAAACACAGTATTTTTTGTTGACCATGGGGGTTCTATGTGGAAAGTTTGGCCTAATTCTAGTGTTGGTGGGGTTTAGAATGCTCTTTAATTGTAGGTGAATTATAAATCCCAATAACTACAACTCCCAAGTATCAAGGTCTACTTCCCCTAAACTCCATCTGTGTTCATATTTGGGCATATGGAGTATTCGTGCCAAGTTTGGTCCAGATCCATCATTGCTTGAGTTTACAGTGCTCTCTGGGTGTAGATAAACTATAACTCCAGAACTCAAGGTGAATGCCCACCAAACCCTTCCAGTATATTATTTTGGTCATGGGGAGTTTTGTTTGCCACATTTGGTTCAATTCCATTATTGGTGGAATCCGGAATGCTCTTTGATTGTAGGCGAACTATAAATCCCAGTAACTACAATTCCCAAATGTCAAGGTCTATTTTCCCCACACTCCATCTGTGTTCATATTTGGGCATATGGAGTATTCGTGCCAAGTTTGGTCCAGATCCATCATTGTTTGAGTCCATAGTGCTCTCTGGATGTAGGTGAACTACAAGTCCCAAACTCAAGGTCAGTGCCCACCAAACCCTTCCAGTATTTTCTGTTGGTCATGGGAGTTGTGTGCCAAGTTTGGTTCAATTCCATCGTTGGTGAGGTTAAGAAAGCTCTTTGATTGTTGGTGAACTATAAATCCCAGCAACTACAACTCCCAAAGGACATACATTTGGTTGTTAGGTGTTTTGTGTCCAAATTCGTCCAGTGGTTTTTGAGTTCTGTTAATCCCACAAACGAACATTACATTTCTATTTATATAGATGAATAGACAGCAACCTTTGATATGGTTTTTTGTCTGAAAATCAGACCAGAAACTGACACGCACAGATAATATTTTAGGCACATCTCATGTTACTTTTTACCTATGGTTTTGAGACGTGGCACTACTTCCATATTCAATCCACAGTTGTGTAAATGGGATTCCTGCACTTAAAAAAAAACACTTTTGAATGGTGTATAATCTGCTAGTGGCACAGCAGGTTAAACCTCTGAGCTGCTGAACTTGCTGACCAAAAGGTTGGTGGTTCTGAATCATAGAATCAAAGAGTTGGAAGAGACCTCCTGGGCCATCCAGTCCAACCCATTCTGCCAAGAAGCAGGAAAATCATATTCAAAGCATCCCTGACAGATGGCCATCCAGCCTCTGCTTAAAAGCCCCCACCAAACTCTGGGGCAGAGAGTTCCACCGCTGACCAGCTCTCACAGTCAGGAAGTTCTTCCTAATGTTTAGGTGGAATCTCCTTTCTTGTAGTTTGAAGCCATTGTTCCTTTGCGTCCTAGTCTCCAGGGAAGCAGAAAACAAGCTTGCTCCCTCCTCCCTGTGGTCCTCTCACATATTTATACATGGCCATCATATCCCCTCTCACACTTCTCTTCTTCAGGCTAAACATGCCCAGCTCCTTAAGCCGCTCCTCATAGGGCTTGTTCTCCAGACCCTTGATCATTTTAGTCGCCCTCCTCTGGACGCATTCCAGCTTGTCAATATCTCTCTTGAATTGTGGTGCCCAGAATTGGACACAATATTCCAGGTGTGGTCTAACCAAAGCGGAATAGAGGGGAGTGGAGTGAGCTCCCGCTGTTAGCCCCAGCTTCTGCCAACCTAGCAGTTTGAAAACATGCAAATATGAGTAGATCAATAGGTACCACTTTTGCGGGAAGGTAATGCCACTCTATGCAGTGATGCTGGCCACATGACCTTGGAGGCATCTACGGACAACGCCAGCTCTTCAGCTTAGAAATGGAGATGAGCACCACCTCCCAGAGTCGGAAAAGACTAGACTTAATGTCCGGGGAAGCCTTTACCTTTACAACTTCCTCTGTACTCCAACGTGCCAGTTGATTCATTGGGACTGTGTGTGGCAACACTTTTGCAAATATCAAGTTGGCCATGCCACGTTAGAGCACTTAACGACATGAATGTACATTTCTACTATGCAAGCGTGATGTAGGATCTCCGTTCAAAGCTGATGGCAAACTGGACCTTTGGTACTGAAAGTTTCATGAAGAATGGCATTGGATGGAAAATGGCAATAATGACATCTTCATCCATAGGACATATTGACTTCCAGGCAACCAGAGTTGGATTGCAATTTGATCCTGGTCGCCACCCTAGAAACATTTTTGCTGTATGTTTTTATCCACTTGTATGACCATCTTTTTCCTTTTTTATATAAAAATAATAATGTATACACAAGCATTTTGAGTAGTTGTACAGATAGGTGGGATGGTTGTCGACGTCACAGTCTCTGGCTGTTGCACCTCAGCAGGAATTCAGCATGCTCACAGCACTTGCCAAGAAACCAAACGTGGCAACATGCAGTTTATTGCTACTCGCATTTATTTATTTACTAGCTTGGGGACCCAGCGCTGCCCGGGATATTTGAGATAGGAATTGTGTATCAAGGTTGGTCTTTATCAGTTATTTATATGGCTCGCAGTGGTCTCAGGAAGTTAGTGAAGGTACTGCAAGTCCCATCATCTGTGGTCCATCCTCCTCCAAATTGCACCAGAATGGAGAGTGGGTCGTGGGGGCTCTGTGTGCCAAGTTTTGTTCTTGATCAGTCATTGGATGAGGGTCACAGTGGTCTCAGAAAGTGAGTTTAGGTACTGCAAGTCCCATCATCCATAGTCTGTTCTCCCCCAAACCTCACCAGAATGTTGAGTTGGCCAAGGGGGCTCTCTGTGCCAAGTTTGGTCTTTCTTGGAATTTGGATAAGTGTGGCTGTGGTTTCAGGAAGTGAGTGAAGTCCCATTGTCTGTCCTCCTCCAAACAGCATCAGGATGTAGAGTGGGTCATGGGGGTCTGTGTGCCAAGTTTGGTCTTGATCGGACATTAGATGAGGGTTGCAGCAGTCTTGGGAAGGGAGTGGAAGTACTTGACGTCCCATTATCCATGGTCTATCATCCTCGAAAGTGCACCAGGATGTAGAGTGGGTCAAGGGGACTCTGTGTGCCAAGTTTGGTCTTGATCAGTCATTGGCGAGGGTCTCAGTGGTCCCAGGAAGTGAGTGAAGTGACTGCAAGTCCCATCATCCATTGCCAAATTCTTCCAAACCGCACCAGGATGTAGAGTGGGTCATGCTGGCTCTCTGTGTGAACTGTGGTCCTGATCCATCAGTGTTGACAGTTGTAATGGTCTTAGGAAGGGAGTGCAGGTATTGCAAGTCCCATCATCCATGGTGCATCCTCCTCCAAACTGCACCAGGATGTAGAGTGCGTCATGGAGACTCAGTGTGCCAAGTATGGTCTTTTTTGGTAGTTGGATGAGGGTTGCAGTCGCCTCAAGAATTGAGCAAAGGTACTGCAGGTCCCATAATCCATGGTCTATCCCCGGCCAAACCACACCAGGACGTAAAGTGGGTCATGAGAGGTCTATGTGCCAAGTTTGGTCCTGATCGGTCATTGGATGAGGTTAACAGCGGTCTCAGAATGTGAGTGATGGTACTGCAAGTGGAAGGATCTGATGGTACTGTTACTAGGGGTTAACCAAATA